AGGAGTTGGAGGTTGCTGTGAGCTGTAATGCCACGGCACTCTACCCAGGGGGACAGCTTGAGGCTCTGTCTCAAAAAAAAAAAAAAAAGATTCACATATCTTCTTTCAGAGAATGTTCCAACAAGGACGCCAAAGAGGCAGCTCTCCAGGCTGAGTGACATGAAGGCATGTACATTTTCACAAAGAGCGGGATCAAGTATCACAAGAAACATTCAATGAACAATTTGTTCTAAACAGTCATAACAGTGTGGAACACAGCTGTATGACACTTGCCCTGACTTCTGCCACAGACCTCACAACAGCAACTTCCCAGTGACAGCAAAGGGACAGAGGACAACTGACAGGAAAGAGGCTGTGTTTAGGGCCTCAGCTGCATCTGTGTAGCGTTTACTGTAATATTAAGATATGCATGATGTGCTGTTATGTTTAATAATCACTGTTGTAGCAGGAATATGGCCCATCTTCTCTGATACCAAATAAGTTGTGTTCTGACATCTGACCAAAGTTGTAGCCATTTTCACCAAAAACAAGTGTTTCAGAAGAGTCTCTACAGAAACACCACAGTCTCCAGGAAATGGTGGTACTAAGACTGGTTTAAGAATCTCCTGCTGTTAGATATTTACTACAAATGTACTGTGAAATCAGGGAGAAAAGATTTTCCCCTCCTGATCTCTTTCTCAAGCTTTTAGCAGGTATTTGTGCACATTAATGTGTGACTTTTCTCATCCTGATCCCAGAATGCTCTATGCCTATGTGGTCCCAAAAGAGTTCCCGCTGCCCCACAGCACTGACACTGCACAGCCACACCCCGTCTCCAATCCGATTATGTCTGGGCGAGAAGTCTTTCCCAGGATCCTGTCCCATGGGGCCTCTGCACAAGCTCATGTCACCAGGTCACTGTTGAGATGGGATCTCAGTGCAGGTGAGAGGGACTGAGGGAAGGCAGGGGTGAGTGCAAGCAAACTTCAGGCTGGACACTGCAGAGTCAGAGATCAGCAAGTCCAGTGCCCGGCATTTCAGAAAGGAGGGGGACTCAGAACGACCCACCGAGAACAGCACTGTACCTGAGTAAGAGCCATTCCTGAATCCTCTCTTTTCCTCTCCTGTGCTTCTTCCTCGGGTAATATGACTCTTTAGAAGTCAATCCTGAATGTCAAAAATATGCTGTTTATTGTTTAGGATCATCAAATCACATCACCTCACTTTACAGTACCACAACCACACAAACATCTTATCCAGGGAAGATGGTCCCCTGCTGCCCAGTGTACCCGGAGAATGAAGGGGCAACAAACTCCTACAGGAGTTACTGAGGAGACGGTGTCTGGTCCCACAGGTTGAGGGTTCAGTCACACAGACTGTCTCCCCCTTTCGGACGCACTACCCGAGTACTAGCAGCCACCTGTGCTACCCACTGACCAGTGGAAAGTCAGGGTTTCCAATCCCACCCTGCTCCCGGGTTTCATTAATCTCCTAGAATGAACATTCCACCCAGCTGTTCTTATCCTTTGTAATATTATAGCAAATGAGTAAACCTCAGTGAACGTTTCCTCGGGCTTTGTGAGCTACTCTGGCAAATTAATACACACTGAGGAGGGGCAACGAGAAACCCCAATTTACACAAGTTCAGATCCCAATCGCTGAGACATTTTAGCAAAAGGTTTAAGTGACAATCCCGGGAGGTCAAGGAGACTTGTGAATTCACTTAGAGTGAAGGGAGCGCCGCAGGGATTTTAAGGTCTGTAGGGAAGTCGGGTCATCGGATATGGTAGCGCTGAGGGTTGGCGAATCACACTTTTAATTTACACAACGGAAAACTCACCCGCGGCAGGGACAGGTGAGATCACCTCCATCCACTTCCGGCTCTGCGGGAACTGCGCCCGCAGGAGAAGCCAGGCGTGGGTCGGGCCGTAGCGGGCGGGTCCCCAAAGAAAGAGGCGGAGCCTGGACGAGGGCCGGGGAGGATGGGCAGGATCTGAACTGGAGTGTAAGTCTGGGAGGGTGGGGGCACTGGGCAGAAACGCCATAGATTGCCGGATCTGGGCGGGGCCCCAACGGTGGCCTGGGAAGGTGGGCGGACCCTGCAGCGGTCTCGGTGGGACACTGGACGGTTGGGGATTCTGGGCGGGGCCCAGGATGTTGCGGGGTGGGCTGGGTCAGGGCCGGCATGTTAGGGATGGGTGGGGCCTGCGCTGCTTTTCTCGGGGCTGCTGTAGGGTCTCTTGGTTTTTGGGTTTTAAGGCAAGACTTGCTGGTGAAGTTGAAGCTTCTTATCGGTCTGGAACATGGGATCTCTCTGGTGGGCTCTATGTGGGTTGCTGACTGTATTCAGGACAGTTACTTCTGTTAAAATTAATTTTCGCTGTTTAATTATACAGGCCTTGGAGTCGTCTATTGAAGAGGGTGAAATTAGAACGCGAAATGCAGAACGCTGCCTGAGGAGAAGGTGCCCTTGCTTGCTAAAACTCAACAGAACACACTATAAATCCTTTTGTTTTTAGAGACAGAGTCTCACTATGTCGTCCTTGGTAGAGTACAGTGGCATCACAGCTCACAGCAACCTCAAACTCTCAAACTTAAGCGATTCTCTTGCCTCAGCCTCCCGAATAGCTGGGATTACAGGACCTGGCCACAACACCCGGCTATTTTTGGATTGCAGTTGTCATTGTTGTTTAGCAGGCCAGGCCGGGCTCCAACCACCAACCTGGGTGTATGTGGCCAGTGCTCTATCCACTGAGCTATGGGTACCGCCTATAAATCTTTTCCCAATTCTACTAATATTCCCCATTCACCACGGAGGGAGTCAACCCTATGTTCAGTTCCTGGGACTCTTATAGGGACAACCCCAGGGTGTACAGCACTAAGGTCACCAAATGTTACTTTTAAAAAAGCAAAAGCTCTTAAAAATAAATATAAATAATGCAGCTCTGTGGTTGGAATACTAGGGAAAAGTAGTCTAAAAACAAAACAAAGACTTCTCAGAGAAACCCAAAGACACTCTTACAAGGTCCTCCCCATGGTAACCCAGTCTTTAAGAATTTGTAGGGCGGCGCCTGTGGCTCAAAAGGGTAGAGCAGCGGTCCCATATGCCGGAGGTGGCTGGTTCAAACTCAGCCCCAGCCAAAAAAAAAAAAAAGGATTTGTAAAACTTAGCTTCCTGGGTCCTTGAAACTAATGATTGCTGCTTGCTTCTGTTTATGTAAACCCTGCAAATGATTTGACACTGCCAATGAAAAATAATACAGTAATTCCTTTGTCTACTCGTGAGTCCAATAAAGGGACAAAGCTTAAAAGGGGAGCTCATTACTTTAAGGCTAATGGCCTGCTGAGTTTCCCCACCACCAAATCAAATTCCTCCTCCTATAATCTTTGGTGAGAGTTTATTGGTTTTAATTTGCCCATTCTACAACGGCTTTATTTTATACCTGTTACTCTAGCTAATCTGAGTTAATATTATGGACATCAGGCTCAGC